TGGACATGAAATCCTAAGGCATCACAGTATATACATTAAAGGAAATAAGTATTTGATCCCCTGCTGATTTTGAATGTTTGCTCACTCATAATATCACAATGAAATGATCAGTTTAAAAATCCAATGGTAGGTGTATTGTAACACTGAGAGACAAAATAGCAACAAAAAATTCAAAAGAAATGCATGTCTAACAAATTATGCACTGATTTGCATGACAATGACCCAAAACACAGGGCAACAAAGCAGTGGCTCAAGAAGAAGCACATTAAGGTCCTAGAGTGGCCTAGCCAGTCTCTAGACCTTAATCCGATTGAAAATCTGTGGAAGAAGCTGAAAGTTCGAGTTGCCAAATGTCAGCCACCAAACCTTAATGACTTGGAGAGGATCTGCCAAGAGGAGTGGGCCAAAATCCCTCCTGAGATGTGTGCAAACCTGGGGGCCAACTACAGAAAACGTCTGACCTCTGTGATTGCCAACAAGGGATTTGCCACCAAGTACTACGTCATGTTCCGTGAAGGGGCTCAAATACTTATTTCCCTCATGAACATGCAAATCAGTCATCATTTGTTAGACATGCATTTCTGCTGAATTTTTTGTTGCTTTTCTGTCTCTCAGTGTTACAATACACAGAACATTAAATTTTTAGACTGATCATTTCTTTGTGAGTGGGCAAACATTCAAAATCAGCAGGGGATCAAATACTTATTTCCTTCACTGTACATGGCCCTGATGAGGTGTGCTGGCTTTTCTCTATTCATTGCTGCTCTCCTTGTTTTACGAATATTGTTCCTTTAAGGCTTTGGGTGGGTAAGAGTATGATCAAGAAGTGTTTAGCTTCTTTGCTACTGTTAAGTTAGCCTTTCAAGGAAGGACTTTGACGTCAATCAGCTTGGGTTATCTGTATATGGTTTAGTCAGAATAGACGATGTACATCAGACCAACAGCAAGATGCCGTGTGGTAAAGACAGGTTGGAAATCTCCACTTCTTATACACATATTCTTGGAAAACTATCTATTGCTGCATGTTTCAGGTAGGGTGGAAATTTCCAAACTAATATTACACGATCTTCTTGATCATGTCAACTGTCAAGGTATTTACATCTTCTTGACCATGCCAAAGGTCAACGTGTTCACACGTCCTCATTTGGCATTGTTTAGCCAAATCTTCAACTAAACATTCATTCATTATAATTACACATTGTATCAAAATAGATGATCACAAAAACATTTTATGATAATGTGACATTTGAAAATTCCCAAATTTCCCCAGAACACGTCTGTTTAAACATAATTCTCGGAATACATCTTCTATTGCCAAACTAGCACATTTTTCGGAATAAAAATCTTAAATTCATTTATAGATGAAACCCCCTAATGCCACATACACAGAATTGTAAGGTCATCTTTCTAATGCTGAGATATCTAACTAGATATATACTTATTATAGATGTTTAATACAAAGATACAACTTTACGTCTCTGTCAAGAGAACCAGAGAGCACACGGAGACAGATTGCATGGAACCCAATGTGCGGGCTTTTATTGGGGAGGTTTTTGGGGCACAGACAACAGTTCCGTTAGTCCACAGATCCACACCAGGCACAGCAACAACACAGTAACGTTGTTGGGAAGGCAATATGGAACAGCAGGGGTATGGTAATCCGGAGGGTTCAGTAAGGCAAGAGCAGGGTGGTTTTGTGGGACTTCGGGTTTCTGGGGAGAATTGGGCTCAGTCCTTTGGGCAGCACAGGTTTGTCCACTTACTGGATGCGGGGAGCCGGACACAGAGGGCTACAGTCCACACCGGCAACACAGGGATAATCCACACAGGCAGCTCCTGTCAGGGAAGATCTCCAGCCCGCAGGCTCACAGGGAACAAGAGGTAAGTCAAGGCAGGGAAAATGTCCAGCCTGCAGGCTCACAGGGAAGAAGAGGTAAGTCCAGGCAGGGAAGAGGTTCCAGGCAGTAGAGAGTTCACCCCACACTGGAGAGGATCCAGTAGCAGACCGGTCAGCCAGGGAGATGAGGAGGAGGATGGGGGATGGTCAGATGAGAGAAGCTGGCACTCAGCACAGCCTTCTCTCACACACGCAGCCAGGAGAGCACAAGGGGGGGGTTTTCCTTGCTCTCTCTTAAGTAGAGAGCTGGGCAACTTGCTGCTGCAGTGGTAACCCGAAACTTCCTGTCGGGTTACCATGGCAAAGGGTCATGTCTCCCAGGTCTCCAGACCCGCCCAGGGAACAAGGCCTCCGCATGGAGCCTGGGAAGATGTGCATGAGAAGGAAGGGAGGAGGGGGCCTGTTTGTGGATTCCCTCAGCAGGGGGCCAGACTGCCAGGGACAGGGGGGGTGAGGGGCTGCTGAGGGCTGCTTGTGTCACAGACACGGAGGACTAGAAGTCCCAGCATGGACGGGACAAAAGAGTGAGGGGCTGCTGAGGAGTGGAGGGTGGCAGGCAGCAAACCTGGAGGATGGGGAAGGAAGGACCAGCTCCGTGACAGTCTCCATTATATGTCTTCGATATAGCCTATATAGCCTCTTAACCCCTTGACGCCGACGTAACACAAATATGCGGCCTCACAGAACTGGGCTTTTTTCCTGTGGGGCCGCATAGTTGAGTACCTGTTTTTGTGCTGGGAGTGTTCCGCATGGCGAGCTCCCAGCACAAAGACAGCGATGTCACTGAGAGCACCGGGTCCCGTTCTAATGATCGGGACCCGGGACACCCAAATCCGGGTCACATGATCGCTGTGATAGCCTCTGGCTGGCAAGCACAGTGATCAGTCACTTTTATTTTATTACAAAATAGTCGAGTCTTGTCCGTGATCCTTTTTTTTTTTTTTTTTTACAGTTTATTTTGAAGGACAACATTTTGGGAAATCAACTCAGGTCCAAGCAGTACCATTTCTCAAATGTTTAACGAACAAGCAATTTCGACCCAAGGCCGGACCAAGTGGCCTCATTCGACCAATCCAATACAGCTCCCCTGGGGTGGTAGAGCTATGTAAAAATTAACTATTTAATTACTAAGATAACAATCTTAATAGAGCAGTGAAGAAAAATCAAGAATAACAATGGGGTTATAAAAAGTAGAGTGAGCTATAAAATGGAATGGGTAGAGCCATAGAGGTGCAAATAGCCATACAAAAAGAATCAATACCGAGTCCATTATCTGCTGTGTGAAACAGAATTATCATTCATTATTTTGCTGCAGAATTACATGGCAAGGCTAACAGGGAAGAGGTGCAGTAAAAGAGGTATCTGATACTCAGGTTAGTGATCTACCAAGATGTTCGGTCACAGCATTTTGGATATTATTATTGCAGTGTCCAGCACAGTAAGAATAGCACATGGCCACTTGTTCAAGATTGTATAACTCAGAAGGTGACCACAAGAAGAAAACAACCTCATGACCATCCCTTTATTTGTCTATATGACTTACCCCGTGCAAGAAAGCGGCTTCGGACTCTCCTGGAAGGTTGGTTGTTGGAAAATAACTCCAGAATGAACCACAAAAACTCCCCCGATCAGAATATCACCGGATTGTGAGAAGGCTTCCATTGGCCAACCCTGGAGACTGCAGCCAGGGCTAGACTGACTCTCACTCAACCATGAGAGGAGGAGGAGGACCTGCAGGGATCTACTCATGATGACCATTTAGGCAATCCTAGGGATCTGGAGATGGACCCTTCCAGATGGAGTGCAGCCAACCAGTCCTACTGGAAGATAACAGACTTGGAGGTTAAAGTATTGCATAACGGACTCATAGGTTAGAGTATTAGAGAACAGACTCAGAGGATAGAGTATTAATGACTTGATGTCCGGACACTTTCACCCCCTTCCTGTCCAAGCCAATTTTCACCTTTCAGCGCTGTCGCACTTTGAATGACACTTGCGCGGTCATGCAACACTGTACCCATATGAATTTTTTAGCATTTTTTGAGACAGATAAAACTTTATTTTGGTGGTATTTACTAACCACCTGGATTTTTTTTTTTTTTTTTTGCTATATAAACGAAAAAGTCCATAAATTTTGAAAAAAGTGTTTTTCTTATAATATTTTGCAAATAAATAATCTTTCATAAATCTTGGTCAAAATTTATTCAGTTATCTTTTTAGTAAAAAACAATAACCCAGATTAGTTTATTACCAAAAATTATAATTTTTATTAATTTGCTTTACATTTTTATTTTTTTTTTTTTTTATATTATTATTTATGTTTCTTTTTTTTTTAACATACTGTCACCCTAGCAGTACAGTGTCACCATAGTGACACTGTACTACTTGTGGGGGGTGATGAAGATTTTTTTTTTTTTTTTTTTTTTTTTTTTTACACTGATTGCCTTTACACCCATAAAGGCTGTAAAAGCAATAATGTCTCCTTCTCTCTGGTTGCATTCTTGCAGCCATTGAGAACTACTGAGTGAGTTGTGATTGGTCGCAGCTTGTCACATGGTACAAGGCTGTTGCGAATGGCCTTATACCATGTGACCTCTGTGATCATTCACAGATTTCACAAGTAGTAAGCAATGATGTCAGAAGTGAAATCTTGCTTACACCTATTTATGTGATCACTGATTCACAAATCATCAACGTTTTTACAGTAATACATGTGTAGATTTTCATACAAGAATATTCATAAGAAAAGTCGTATGAGAATGTTCTTTGAACATTCGGCAAATGGATGAATGTTGTTCAAAAATTGTCTTTTTGCTTTCAACATTCGACTTTAAAATTAATGTCATTTCTGAACGATCACCACATACACTGACTTAAAATTTGTTTGATCGAGAAAGGTTTTCCTTCCTGCGCCCTTCGAATGTTCTCGTCACTGCTGTCGAAAACAACATCGGTTTGACCCCCACTAACGATTAGAAAATATTCTTGAAATGATAATTCTCAAATGAAATCTGTACATGTATGGTCAGCCTAAGGAGCTTCAATGACAATGTCTTGCTACTGCTTTAAGTTCTTATTAATGACAACGACCTGCAACCTTTTTATATAAGAGCAGGGGTGGACTGACCATTTGGAAACTCGGGCATTGCCCGAGGGCCCAGGGTCCGTAGGGGACCCCAAGAGATGCCCCTGGTACCTTTTTCATAGGCTTTTTTGAGTTTGGGCAAGGACACAGGGGCCCATGATCCCCTATTGCCCGGGGGCCCCATGAGTTGTCAGTCCGCCCCTGTATGAGGAGCATGTTTGCATCTATAGCCACTGCTGACTGGCTGCTGAAAGTGGTTGGACCAACACAAAACAGGCTTGGACACACCCCAAAAATTATTGAAGGTGTTCTTTTTATTTTTTTTATCTGCTTTTCTGCTATAAAACCATATAAATGAAGCATGCCGCCACTGGACTCTACAGCAGTGGAGATGTGTGCTCTGGGGTGACAAAACATGATTCTTTGTCTGGCAATCCGATGGACGTGTCTGGGTTTGGCAGTTGCCAGGAGAACGGTACTTGCCTGACTGCATTGTGCCAAGTGTAAAGTTTGGTGGAGGGGGGATTATGGTGTGGGGTTGTTTTTCAGGGGTTGGGCTTGACCTCCTAGTTCCAGTGAAGGGAACTCTTAAGATGACATTTTGGACAATTTCATGCTCCCAACTTTGTGGGAAGAGTTTGGGGATGGCCCCTTCCTGTCCCAACATGACTGCACACCAGTGCACAAAGCAAGGTCCATAAAGACATGGAGGAGTGAGTTTTGGGTGGAGGAAATTGACTGGTCTGCACAGAGTCCTGACCTCAACCTGATAGAACACCTTTGGGATGAATTAGAGCGGAGACTGTGAGCCAGGCCTCCTCCCCCGACATCAGTGCCTGACCTGACAAATGTGCTTCTGGAAGAATGGTCCAACCTTCCCATAGACACCCTCCAAACCTTGTGGACGGCCTTCCAGAAGAGGTGAAGCTGTTATAGCTGCAAAGGGCGGGGCCAACTCAATATTGAACCCTACGGACTAAGACTGGGAGGCCATTAAAGTTCATGTGTGTGGAAAGGCAGGTGGAACAATACTTTTGGTAATATAGTGTATATTGGTGCCCCTGATGATGCCATTTATGGCGAAACTCATAGGGCGGAGCCACGCAAACATGCTACCATGCATGCGCGACCAGGCCGATGGTCATTTTTGGATGCTGGAAGAATCTGACTTTTTGCTTTTACATGCTCATCTATGTCCACTTTCATGTGAATGTAACCATTTTTTAAATAAACATTGTTTTATTGGTTTTACACTATGTGGAGCATTCTTCTCTTTCATGCCTCCTAATACCTATTTGGGTCCCAACCGGAGTGGTTTAGCTGCCCTATTTAGGGATCATTACTTGGAGGATCTTTGGCTTTTCTCCCTTGGGAGTCCAGAAGAAGGTCCGACTTTCCAACCTTCTGAGTTATCATACAATGAAGCGCGAATGACCACTCTTCACATCTCTCTGGTAAGCCTTTAAGTGAGTGGTTGGGGACACATCAGCTGTCCTTGGATTTTTCCTGTTTCATCACGGTCTTTGGGGGCTTTCTTCTATTTTGACGACTCTAGACAGACATTTCTTTTTATATTTTTTTATTACAATTCTGTTTCACTAATTGTTTGGTATTCTGTTAAGCGCTGCACTTTATATGTAAATTATTATTGCCTGGTACCGGGTTGTAGTGTTCAGCTGCTATATATTTTGCATTTTCATTTTTATCTCACTTTTTAGCACGGACTTATATATATATTCTGATATACCGTATTTATTCGAGTATAACGCGCACACGTGTATAATGCGCACCCCTAATTTTCGATTAAAAATCGGTATAAAATTTTGTTTCACTTTTCCTCGGCTCAGACCAAGCATTGTAATTAACAAACGTTGTTGAACACGTGCGGCCATGATAAAAATCATTTATTGACAAGGTAAACACAATACCGACATAAAATTACCGGTAACAATATTTATTTAAAATGCTTCAAAGTCAGATTCATCATCATCAGATACACTAAAGAGTTGTTCCCATTCTTCTAGAGTTAATTTATCATCAGTGTCCCAGTTGGCAGGAACATCTGTTTCTCAGCTTCTTCGCTTTCTTCTGAGTCTGAATTCCACAGCAGGTCGTCTTCTGTGCCGTCCATTTTATTGCTGATGCCTGTCTTTAAAAAACTCTTGATGATCATTTCTTTTGGCATGTCTTCCCATGATGTTTTAATCCAAGATGTCACGAGAGATAGGCCAGGTTTCTTGAGGTTTCCTTTTGCAGTCAATTCTTTGTCTTCGGATTTCATCCAGGTAATCCACTTTTCCCTGACTCTGTCTTTGAAGGGTTTGTTTAAAACAACATCGAGTGGCTGAAGAATAGAGGTTAGTCCACCTGGAATCACAGCTTGAAATGTCTTTAGACTTTTCAGTTTGTCTTTCACAGTGTCTGTCAGGTGTGAGCGGAACTGGTCCCATACAAGCATGGATTTCTTCAGTAGTGCGCCTGGTCTAGTATTCCAAACTTTATTTAACCATAACATGATGCCCTTCTCATCCATCCATCCTTTAGGATGACAATGGATCACGACACCTGGTGGAAATTTAACTCCTTTTGGAATAGTCTTTCTTTTAAAAATCACCATTGGTTTAAGTTTAAAACCGTCTGCCATACAGGATAACGCAACCGTAAAATGAGTTTTCTCATGGCCTGTGGTTTTAATCTGGACTGTGTGCTTCCCTTTGCTGTCAATTGTCCTGTTGCCTGGTAGGTCAAAACACATGGGGGTCTCATCCATATTGCCTATCTGTGAAAGTTCAAAATTAATCTGCTTGCGTTGGTTGATTATAAAGGTATGGAATGAAGTGATCTTCTCTGCTAAATCACTTGGCAGCTTCTGCGCTATCTTTGTTTTCTGGCGGAAACAAGTCCATGCCTTTTCATAAACTTTTGTGTCCATCCATTAGAGGCTTTGAAGGTTGAATCTTTGCAAAACTTTTGGGCTTGAAGTCTAATGTGGAGTGATGTGACAATGTACCCACTACTTCTTTGGTCAATGATCCATTCATAAAGTTCCTTCTCCATGTCTGGGTACATGGCTTGTCTCCCTCGTTGTGCTTTTTTGGTTTTTATTCATATCTTTCAGGACGACTTTTTGTTTTCTCCATTCTCTAACATTCGTCTCTGGTACAGTGAATTCTCGGCTAGCTGCTCGATTTCCGTGAATTTCAGCATGACCAACAACTTTGAGCTTGAATGAAGCGTCATATGCAGAACGTTTTCTCTTGATTCCCTGAGTTGCCATCTAACGGGTACCAGTATATCAATAAATAATATGAAGAACACTACACTGAATATGATTATAAAATGAAGAACACAGCAAAACAGCAATGCTTACCGTAACGTGTGGGCGAGGAAAGGAAATGAAGAAGCGACCATACGAAATGAAGAGGCACAGGGGACGTTTTTTCTTCTTCTTCTTTCTTTCTACAGTGAGCGCATGTGCCCTCAATGGACCGGCCGCCACTGCGTCACCCCACCAGTGCATCTCGCCAGTTCGGGCCGCCCCCTGTACGCGACAAGGGGACGTAGAAAAAAAAAACCGATCCCCTGTTTTCGCCGCCCCTTAAAGGGGCGGGGCCGGCACAGGGGACGTTTTTTTTTTTTCTTCGCGTACAGTGAGCGCCTGCGCCCTCAATGGATCGGCCGCCACACACCAACCCTCGTTTATAACGCGCACCCAAACTTTGATTTCTTTTTTGGTTTAAAATTTTGCGCGTTATACTCGAATAAATACGGTACCTTATATACACACACACACACATATATATATATACAGTGGGGATCGAAAGTTTTGGCACCTCAGCTAAAAATGTGTATTAATGTGCATAAAGAAGCCAAGGAAAGATGGAAAAATCTCCAAAAGGCATCAAATTACAGATTAGACATTCTTATAATATGTCAACAAAAGTTAGATTTTATTTCCATCATTTACACTTTCAAAATAACAGAAAACAAAAAAATGGCGTCTGCAAAAGTTTGGGCACCCTGCAGAGTTAATATCTTGTACTGCCCCCTTTGGCAAGTATCACAGCTTGTAAACGCTTTTTGTAGCCAGCCAAGAGTCTCTCAATTCTTGTTTGAGGTATCTTTGCCCATTCTTCCTTACAAAAGTCTTCCAGTTCTTGGAGGTTTCTGGGCTGTCTGTCACGCACTGCTCTTTTAAGGTCTATCCATAGATTTTCAATTATGTTGAGGTCAGGAGATTGTGAAGGCCATGGCAAAACCTTCAGTTTACGCCTCTTGATGTAATCCCCCGTGGATTTCGAGGTGTGTTTAGGATCATTATCCATTTGTAGAAGCCATCCTCTCTTTAACTTCAGCTTTTTCACAGATGGCATCAAGTTACCATCCAAAATTTGCTGAAATTTTATTGAATCCATTTTTCCTTCTACTTGTGAGATGTTCCCTGTGCCACTGGTTGCAACACAACCCCAAAGCATGATTGATCCAACCCCATGCTTAACAGTTGGACAGAGGTTCTTTTCATTAAATTCTGTGCCCCTTCTTCTCCAAACGTACCTTTGCTCATTCCGGCCAAAAAGTTCAATTTTAACCTCATCGGTCCACAGAACTTGTTTCCAAAATGCATCAGGCTTGTCTATATGTTCATTTGGAAAGTTCAAATGATGATTTTTGTGGTGAGGACGTAGAAGAGGTTTTCTTCTTATGACTCTTCCATGAAGACCATATTTGTACAAGTATCTCTTTATAGTGGAATAGTGTACCACAACTCCAGTGTCTGCCAGATCTTTCTGGAGGGATTGTGCAGTCAAACGTGGGTTTTGTTTTTCTCACAATCCTGCAAGCTGTTCTGTCTGATATTTTTCTTGGTCTTCCAGATCTTGCTTTAACTTCCACTGTTCCTGATGACTGCCATTTCTTAATTACATTCCGAACAGAGGATATTGACATCTGAAAACGCTTTCCTATCTTCTTATAGCCTTCTCCAGCTTTGTGAGCGTCAACTATTTTCAGTTTCAGTTTTCTAGACAACTGCTTAGAAGAACCCATGGTGCTGATTGTTGGGGCAAGGTCAGATGAGTCTGGGCATTTAAAACCTTTGAGTTTGACATAACCTGGTCTTCCCAGACGATGATTGAGAACAATCCATGACACACTGGCAGGTCTCAGCTTTGCAAAGGGGGCAGTGCATACTATAAATTCTGCAGGGTGCCCAAACTTTTGCAGACGCCATTTTTTTGTTTTCTGTTATTTTGAAAGTGTAAATGATGGAAATAAAATCTAACTTTTGTTGACATATTATAAGAATGTCTAGTCTGTAATTTGATGCCTTTTGGAGATTTTTCCATCTTTCCTTGGCTTCTTTATGCACATTAATACAAATTTTTAGCTGGGGTGCCCAAACTTTCGATCCCCATTGTATATATACATACACACATACATACAGTATATACAAAATACACAAACATACATACATACACACACACGTACATACACACACACACACACATACACATATATATATATATTAACAAGCATTGGCAGTACCCATGACACTGTTGTTGCAGAGGTTGTAGACATTCTATAATGGGTGCACAGCACAAGTTACTTGCTTTTAGACTGGCTTTCTCTAATAGAAAGTCTTTTCTGGGCTGCATAAACCAAGGAATCCTCTATGTGTGCAATCTGAGCTTCTGCTACTGAGCTCTGTAAACATCAGGATTTTTATTTCATTAGGTAAAACTAAACTAAATATAAAAGGTACAAATTAAAGCAGCTTGTTATTCATAAATCCATCATTATTTTAAATGCATGTTGCCCTCCCTCCTCTTTCTTTGGCTTTCCCGTCCCACTGGGGAGCCCGGGACTGAAGCCAGCAGTTCCACCAGTTGACCATAGAGATGACTGAGGACCAGAATGCCCTCAAGCATCTCTATGGTCTAAGAAACTGGAAGCGATGAGAATTTTGTCACTTCCGGTTTCGGTCTAATGTAAAGAGAGCATCAACGCCCTATGGAAGCATCTGATCAAACCTATCTGTGTTTGATCCGATGCTTTGAAGGTCAGAGGAGACATCTGGGGGTTTATTTACTAAAGCTGGAGAGTCCAAAATCAGACTCCCTTCTGCATAGAAACCAATCAGCTTCTAACCTCAGCTTGTTCAATGAAGCTTTGGCAATGAAACCTGGAAGCTGATTGGTTTCTATGCAGAAGGGAGTCTGATTTTGGACTCTAAAGGCTTTAGTAAATAAACCCCCTGGTGTCTATTTGATTCTCCACAAGGAGGACCTGTCACTACTCCAGCTATCACAAGAGACGCAATTTATAAGCATGACATGTTAGGTATCTATTTGCTCAGCGTAACATCATTTTTTATATTTTACCAAAAAGTTGGGTATGGTGTTGAATTTTTTTTAAAAATTCATTAAAGTGTATTTTTAAAAAAAATGTGTTTGAAAAACTGATACGTACATAACGTGCAGGGGCGGACTGACCATTTGGAAACTCGGGCACTGCCCGAGGGCCCGGGGTCAGTAGGGGGCCCCATGAGATGCCCCTGGTACCTTTTTCATAGGCTTTTATGAGTTTGGGCAAGGAAAAAAGGGGCCCCATGATCCCCTATTGCCCGGGGCCCCATGAGTTGTCAGCCCGCCCCTGATAACGTGTGACATAAAACAATTTGCAACACCCACCATTTTATTTTTTAGGGCCTCTGCTTAAACAAATATGTAATGTTTGGGGTACTAAGTAATTTTCTAGCAAAAAAAGACTCAGTTTTTTTGTTATTTTCACTTTATGAAAATTTAGAACTAAAAGGTTACATAAAAAAGAGTTAAAAAAGCAAATTGGGATTTTTTTTTTTAATTTATCTTTAGTCATCTTGTGTCAAGCTCCTTCTGAGGATTTTCCTCTTTGGAAATAATGAGTATGGAGTGATATATTATTTTTTTTTTATATACAGTATATGAAACATATATATATATTTTTTTTTTTTACAAATTTCAGCCTACTGATCAGAATTCCAGGCCTTTAGCTCTGATTCATGTAAGTACTGCCAGTCATCTTAGCACAGGTAAGATATAATGACACAGAAAGTAGGAGATCTATTTATTAAAAATCAGAACAAATGTTGGATTTTTGCTTCAGTACACTTTGCCCTGGCTTGTTATTTTTTTTTTCACTTTATGAAAATCCAAAACAAAAAAAAGGGTTAAAAAAGCAAATTGGGATTTTTTTCAAATGTATCTTTAGTGATCTTGTGTCAAGCACCCTCTGAGGGTTCTCTTCTTTGTAAATATTGAATATGTAGAAAATTTAATTTATATTTTATATATATATATATATATATATATATATATATTTTTTATTTTATTTTTTACAAATTTCAGCCTACTCAGCAGGATTCCAGATTCTCAGCTCTGATTCACGGAAGTGCTGTCAGTCATCCTAGCACAGGTAAAATATAATGACACAGGCAGTAGGATTTTCTTAAAAATCATTACAAATGATGGATTTTTGCTTCAGTATACTTTGCCCTGTCTTGACCTTTTTTTATTTTCTAAAATTCCAAAACAAAATGTTTGAAATTCCTTTATTTTAAACATTTTGTTTTGGAATTTGAGAAAATGAAAAAAAAGGCATGACAGCAAAGTATATTGAAGCAAAAATCCAAAAAGGTAGCATTTTTATATTTACATGAAGTAATCTTGTGTCAAATCTCCCTCCCATATTATTTTTTTTTAATTATGAAATTTTTTTGGATGACATAACGAAATTAGAGAACCTATTTAATATAAATATGAACAAATAAGCATTTTTGTTAATACTTGTCCTTTTTTTATTTTAAAATCCAAAACCAAGGAGATGCAAAAAAGTAAAATTGGGGATTTGTTTTCAGTTTATTAAATTAAGCCATCTTATGTCAATCTCCCTCTGCAGTTTTCCTTCGGTGGGAATAGTGAATGTGGAGTGAATTAAATTATTATTTTTTTTACAAATATGAAAAATATATATATATTTTTTTTTACAAATTTCAGCCTACTCAGCAGAATTTCAGGCCCTCAGCTCTGAATTATGGAAGCTCTGTCAGTCATCCCAGCACAAGTAAAATATAATGACACAGACAGTAGGGAATCTATTTATTAAAAGTCATAACAAATGATGGATTTTTGCTTCTATAAACTTTACCCTTTCTTTCCCCCCATTCTTTTATAATTTTCTCAAATTTCAACAAAAAGTTTGAAATAAAGGAGTTAAAAAGCTAGCTTTTTTATTTTTACATGAATCGTCTTGTGTCATTCTCCCTCTCCAGTTTTTCTGCTCTGGGAATAATGGATATGGAGTGAATTCAGTTATTATTAAAAAAAATAAAAAAAAAATTATGAGAAATATTTAGATGACATAGTGGCATAGACAGCAGAGAATCTATTTAGTAAAACCCAGAACACATTAAGGATTTTTGTTTATACTTGTCCATTTTTTTAAAATTTTAAAATCCAAAACTAAAGAGCTTCAAAAAAGTAAAACTGGGGATT